AAGGAGGTGACCATATGTGGACGAGAGGGCACTCCTCTCCAGCTCCGCCCTCTTGTCCAAATACTTTTGATTGTAAAACTACAGATGGCTATGGAGTTCTTGTAGAGTCAAGTGGAGCAGAAAGAGGGGAGGTCTGTAGTGATAACAGTAAATATTAATGGACGAAACCTGAGTGACGTCACCCACCTGTTACAGCACAGGGGTCCAGAGGCTCATTGGCAGCAGCCGCCATGTTGGAAATGCTGTCTCAGCCTAAATCTCAGTCAACCTAAATACAGTTTTCAAGCCTCACGTCCACCTGTCAATCAGGTCAGCTACACCCCTAACTCTGGATAACACGTATCATTCATAAAATCAAAACTAAAGCATTTAAAAAAAAACAAAAAAAAACCTTACAGTGTTTGCCCATGATGACAATAACTTATCAGACCTATTTGGTTTTTTTTAACCAGTCTTTTTTGAATGGGTGTGTATGTGACTTCCGGGGCTCCTGGAGCCGACCTCTAGTGGACACTCATGGAACTGCAGGATTTTACACTTCAGCATTGGCTTCATTTTTTTTAGAGGTTGCTGCTTGTGTGATACATGTCATAATCAGAGCTGCCGCTGCCCCCTGGTGGTGAAAGAGTGAAGTGTTGGAGGTTAAAGTATGATGTCAACACAAACATGATACTGTAAGAAATATACCACGTGTAACAGCAGCTGCTGACTCTGGTATCTTTAACAGCACAAACATCCATTCTTCAGTGAAATCCTCCTGATTTAAACTCACAAACGTTTGATGCGACCATACTTAAAAAAAAACCTGATACGCTTTTAATATTGATTGTTATTAAAAATCACTGAAGCTTTGAGATAAATAAGATCTTCAGTCAGTGACTAAAAGCCATGCTGCATGCATGTTAGGTGGTGAAAAAAAAAGTAAGCTGTTTTTGGTGTATGGACACAGAAAGCATTAGCAACATATATGTGCAATCTGGCGGCGTTTGCATGCGGGTTTGTATTTAAAAAGTGTGTTTGGATGCCTCAGATTGGTATCAAACACATGTCAAAATCTACAGTCCCTCTTCCTTTTTCATGCCTGGAGTGCCTATTCTCTAGAAATACTGTTTGTTATTAAAGTTGAATCTTCTGGTGGTGACAGCCCTATGTGTGTGTGTGTGTGTGTGTGCGCGTGTGTGTGTGTGCGTGCGTGCGTGCGTGCGTGCGTGCGTGCGTGTGTGTTCATGTGTTGTTGGTGTTTAGGGAGCTTCTGGTGACGCTGGCTCTGGGTCAGGTTCTGTCCCTGCTCATCTGTGTCATCGGGCTGACCAGTAAATACCTGGCTGATGACTTCCATGCTCACACACCTGTGTTCCAGAGCTTCCTCAACTACATCCTGCTGTTCCTGGTCTACACCACCACACTGGCTGTCAGGCAAGGTAACCTGAGTCACATGCTGGTGCTCTTGTGTTGTGTGTGAGGACAGCACTGCCCCCTGGTGGCACTCAGTCAGTATGTGATGTGTGTGCTGTGTGTGTGTGTGTGTGTGTACCCAGGTGAGGGGAACCTGCTGGCCATCCTGAAGCAGCGCTGGTGGAAGTACATGATCCTGGGTCTGATCGACATCGAGGCCAACTACCTGGTCCTCAAAGCTTACCAATACACCACCCTGTCCAGTGTGCAGGTCAGTGTGTGTGTGTGTGTGTGTATGCTTGTCTGCTTGTTTGGTACCTGTCTGTCTCTTTTTGCTGTACCTGTCTGTCCTCTGTCTGTACCTGTCTGTCTTCTCTCTGTACCTGTCTGTCCTCTCTCTGTACCTGTCTGTCTTCTGTCTGTACCTGTCTGTCTTCTCTCTGTACCTGTCTGTCCTCTCTCTGTACCTGTCTGTCCTCTCTCTGTACCTGTCTGTCCTTTGTCTGTACCTGTCTGTCCTTGTCTGTACCTGTCTGTCCTCTGTCTGTACCTGTCTGTCCTCTGTCTGTACCTGTCTGTCCTCTCTCTGTACCTGTCTGTCCTCTCTCTGTACCTGTCTGTCCTTCTCTCTGTACCTGTCTGTCCTCTGTCTGTACCTGTCTGTGCTCTCTCTGTACCTGTCTGTCTCTCTCTGTACCTGTCTGTCTTCTCTCTGTACCTGTCTGTCTCTCTCTGTACCTGTCTGTCTTCTCTCTGTACCTGTCTGTCCTCTCTCTGTACCTGTCTGTCTTCTCTCTGTACCTGTCTGTCTTCTCTCTGTACCTGTCTGTCCTCTCTCTGTACCTGTCTGTCTTCTCTCTGTACCTGTCTGTGCTCTCTCTGTACCTGTCTGTCCTCTCTCTTTACCTGTCTGTGCTCTCTCTTTACCTGTCTGTCCTCTCTCCTCTCAGCTGTTGGACTGCTTTGTGATCCCTGTGGTGCTGCTGCTGTCCTGGTTCTTCCTGTTGGTCAGGTATAAGGCAGTCCACTTCCTGGGGGCGGGGCTGTGTCTGCTGGGGGTCGGCTGCATGGTGGGAGCTGACGTCCTGCTGGGTCAGCAGCAGGGTCTCGGTGAGTTTGGGGGGGTGTGTGTTTGGGTGTGTGTCATGCTCCTGTCCTCTTCATCTTCCCTGTTGGTCCTGGTCTATAGGAGAACAGAAGCTGTTTGGGGATCTGTTGGTTCTGGGAGGAGCGACGCTGTACGGGATCTCCAACGTGTGTGAGGAGTTCATCGTGAAGAACTTGAGCCGTGTGGAGTTCCTGGGTATGATGGGACTGTTTGGATCCTTCTTCAGTGGCATCCAGCTGTGAGTCTGACTAGCTCAGTTACAGTGAGGAGAGGGAGTTCATATTCTTTTCTATCATTTAGTTTGAGTGTGTGATTGTTTCAGGGCTATCATGGAGCACAAGGAGCTGCTGAAGGTGTCCTGGGACTGGCAGATAGGTGAGCATGCAGGTACACAGGTAAAATAACCGATTAACCCACGAGTCATATGCTGCCTGTCTGTGTGTATGTGTGTGTAGGTCTGTTGTACGTGGGCTTCAGTGCCTTCATGTTCAGTCTGTACAGCTTCATGCCCGTGGTGATAAAGAGGACCAGCGCTGCCTCAGTGAATCTGTCTCTGCTCACAGCGGACCTGTACAGCCTCTTCTGTGGACTCATCCTCTTTCACTATAAGGTAACACCTCTAAAAGAGTTTAAAATACAAGGTAACACCTCTAAAAGGAATTTTGAAGGTTGAAGGTAATACTATCGAAATAGTTTTTTAAATTGACATGGATTGTCATGGATTGACCATTAGCCTGGCGTCCGAGCACCAGCTGTTGTTTATATAATTACACAGTCCTCTACCTCTGCTTTGACTTTTTAATATGGGATCTAATGAGGATTGACTCATCTTTAGCAGCCTCAAGTGGATACTCTGGGAACTGCAACTCTCTCCAATTTTTAACATCGAGGGTAGTGGCCTGTTTTTTTGGTCACTGCCTGGTGTAAACAGACCACCCTACAGCAGTAGACTTAGACTATGTGTGTGTGTCTGTGTGTGTGTGTGTTTCAGTTCTCGGCCCTCTACCTGCTGTCGTTCTTCATCATCATCCTGGGTCTGCTCCTTTACTCCTCCTCCTCCACCTATGTGGCCCAGGACCCCAGAGTCTACAAGCAGTTCAGGAACACAGGAGGTCAGCCTGCCCCAGAGCTGCCCCCTCTCAGTCCTGGGGCCCCCGAGCCCTCGGTCACCTACACCAGCCTGGGCCCTGAGCTGGGGGACGAGCTTCCTGTGAGGGAGGGCTGAAGGATGTGAAGGGGGGGGAGTTTGTCTGTCTATAGAGACACAGAGCTGACTGCACCGAAGCAGCTGAATGGATTATATTCTGAAAGGGGCGGAGTCTTCACCTGCTCATTAAAGACAGACTAATGTACCTGGACGACCTGAACACTGAGCGAGCAGAGGGTCATTAAATAACGGTGTTGTTGTGATACAGACTGTGTGTAGACTGTAGTGACTGAAATCCTCTATCCATGATTTATGCTTAATGACTGATCATCAATCAATTCTGAACATCATCATTCATGTAAATAAATATTATTCCTGTTATTTTATTTGATATCCAGATTTCTTTTGTATCTGCTGACCATGTTTGTGCTGCATACCTGAGAGTACTGTTCATGTCTGCAGCAGGTAAACAGGCTGTAATGTCTGCAGCAGGTAAACAGGCTGTAATGTCTGCAGCAGGTAAACAGGCTGTAATGTCTGCAGCAGGTAAACAGGCTGTAACGTCTTCAGCAGGTAAACAGGCTGTAATGTCTGCAGCAGGTAAATAGGCTGTAACGTATTCAGCGGGTAAACAGGCTGTAACGTCTGCAGCGGGTAAACAGACTGTAACGTCTGCAGATTAATGGCATATTGCTGTTGCTGAAATTTACAGTTTTCTACCGTTTTTGGTAAATACAGCAAAAAGCTGTTATTTGAAACCTTATTTTAAAATACTGTTGAAATGATTAACTGTTTAATACTGTTTATTTACACTTATTCACAAGCTGATTTTTACAGTGAATTTTAAATACTACACCTAGCTATAGATTAATTTCCTTCTATCAAAATGGACACAATATATTTATTTTCTAAACCTAGTGATTTGATAAATTAATCTTTGCATGTGATGTTATAAAACACCATCGCTGCAACACCTGTTGGTTTGACCTGATAACTGGTCTCATATCTGGCAAACTGAGGGGCGTCCAAAACGGCCGTGTGGGGGTGTCTTTAAACCATCTACCTTCTCTGGTCCAAACAAATCCAGATCATTCAGGACCAGAATCTAAAGTTAGGAGGACATACTGGCTGCTGCATTGTTGTCAGAGAAGCCAGCACTTCAACATAGCATGTTTCAATAATGTCTGATCAGATAGTAAGATCACTTTATCATCTCACTCACAACACATCTCACTGATTGGACATTTAAACTTGAGATTTAACTTGAGTTTG